GTATTTTAAACCATACCCAGAAAACAAGAAGGAGCGTATTTAGTCAGGTGTTTGACATAAAAAGTAAGCTGTTATCAGTTTTCTTATTAGCTGATGCCTATGCAGGTTTGGTTGGCTGGTGGAGCAATTTCAAAATCAACATGCTTCTTGTGGGGTGGTGATATCTTGCCAGTATAAAACCTATTGCGTTAGAGATGGTTAGCTCACTATTTTTTAGGAAGAATAATTTATTAAGGAAGAAGAATTCAATAGAGGGAAAAACCCCCGGTATCTGTTAGATACAACGCTAAGTCAAGGCTCAAGTTACTAGTGTCTGATGCCAACTCTGTTTTAGCAAATACTAAGACAGGGCTTGCAGACCTCATTTTACACCCACTCACTTGAATATGCTAGACAGAGGCTGGAAATCATTGTGAAATGCTGTCTTTTAACTCCCAAGGAGCCATGCCCACAACATGCATAAGGAAAAAACCAGAACAAAATGTAATTCAATATTTAGTTTCCTCACTTTGACTATTTTAGGGTATCACTACAAATTAAGGATTAAATAAACCTTGCAAAATTGAGCAGCGACAGCTTATAAGAATGCTAAAATGAATGCTGCTGTCACATACAATCTGCTCCTTTAGGCACACATATTAAAGTTAGTCTTGACCTGCCTAATCCTGTAGTATTTGTAACTGACTTTCAAGTTTTATCGAAGTGCAAGGCTGGTTTACTAAGGGACCGAATCACGGCTGCGTGGCAGAGGAGTCTGCATGCAGCAAGCGGTTGGGATTTTCCAGGAGGCCGTTTGATTTCCTGCTCTCCTGTTAATTACATGCTTCCGAGAAACATGTACACATCTTCCCTTAGATTTATTACATTCCTACAAACAGCACGACCCTTTAAGCCCTGTGATGCAACATCCGTTACATATGGTCTGTTCTCTAGGGAATATCACACATTTGGTCTGAAAGCATTCCTCAGCAGTATTTTTTTTCTGTATTGTTGAAATTTGCAATACAAGTTATTTTTTCTCAAGGTCTAGCGCAGGGATTCCCAAAGGCTGTGCTACCGCAGCAGCCTGCCTGCTTTGTCTGCCTGCAGCAACTGAGCTTGCTCCTACCCAAAATGCGTGGTCCCAGGGAACAGGGAAGGATGTGTGTACAGGCCCATGGGCTGCAGGGGAAAACGGGAAGAGCACCCATGTGCTGCCACTTTTTTGGTTTGTTTTTTTTTGTTTTTTTTTTTTTTTTTAAGTTGAAAAGTTTTCTATCTAATATGTCAAAGGTTTGGGAAAACATTGATCTCTATGGAGTTGCTGCTCAAAGCACAACAAAAATGAGCTGTGTTGAATTTGTTTTTTTCCCAGTATTGCTTTTCAACATTTCATGATAACTTATTTTTAAACTGCTTTTTGAGAGGCATTTACTAACTTCTGTTTGCCTCTGTATTGTTCCTGGCTTCTGTAATACTGTTTCTGAGTTACTGTCATTCTAAATCATTTTTCCGTAGGAGGAGGTTATCTAAAAATGACAGTAGCGTTTGAAAAATCAAGTAAGCAAGCCGAAATAGGAGCATGGGTACATAGGCAACACCAATGGCAGATTAGTTGCTGGTATCTAAAATGTTCCCGACTCTACTTTGACTGTTACTCACCTGTTATTTGGACTTACATTGTCTGAATGCCTTCAGTATGGTGAAAGAGCTATTTGTTGCCATTTGAAAATCCCCAGGAACATACCAAATAATAGTTTAGTAACATTCCGGACAAGAAAAGGCCACGGCCACGAGAAATGCGTGATGACAAGATTTCAGATATTTTTTCCAGCTTTTGGAACAAACGCACTGGGCAGGACACAAAGGCGTGCTGTTACTGATGTCCTGTGCCAGGATGGGGCCCCTGTGTTACATTTTGTTTCTCAACATCTGATAGTGATCCTAGAAACAAGCGCTCTAAAGATAGTTCTTAGGTCAGTGGTGAAACGGATCCTTACTTCAGAGCGTACGAACACCACCTCTGTGACATCAGTTAGTTGCTGAGCTAGTATATTAAGCTGACTTCATGTTGTAGAATGCTTCAGTCATCTGATCACTGTGTGATAAAAGATGGTTTTATTTGCTTAAATGCAGGGTAAAGAGCAGAAACAAGTGTATCCTGAGTGGTTAAAATGTTGCATATTACCAGTATCTCCAGCAGCAGTCGGGGGTGGGGTGGGGGGGGTGTGGGGCGCTGGGAAGCAGCAGGCAAGGAGCAGGCAAGCATATACTGGCAGCACTTCACATAAATGTAGTCCTCTTTGGAGGTTTCTCATGCAGCTGCAATGGCTCTTTGGCTTCAGTTTGACCTTTGCGGATGTAGCCTTAGAACAGGGTAAATGGGTCATGTAAAATAAATCACTGCTTTTCAATAGTGCTTCACGGGGCATTATATATCACTGTAGATGTAAGACTATTAAATGTGTGCATCAGCCTATGAAAATAGTTTTTCATCATAAGCTTAGTCTGGCGTGGAGCTTGGAGACCATTAAATATGAACCCCAAGGGAGAAAAGATTAGGTTCCAAAATTCTGACTGCAAAACGCTAAGTCTAAGTCATCAGAATCTTAAGCTGTTTCAGTGACCAAAGTTATTTTTATTTTTGGAAATAGATTATTGATGACACATCCCTACAGCCCTCGGCACGCAACCTCAGCTGTCCGGATGTTCCTCACTGCCTAGCTATAAAACGCTTCTGATGCTCTTATATGGTCTCTTGGCTGGGTCTATTGGTCTCGCAGCCTTCCAGCGGTTAAGGGTTTTGTGCCCACTTGCAGGTTAACTGGTCTCCTACATTACAATACAGATACTAGGGAAACCTGAACTTGGAAGGTCATCATTACACTCGAACATCCCTGGAAATTCTTTCTCAATAACACGTCTTCCTGAGTAGGTATCTTTACATTAATACAGTTCCCTGTCCCCACCCCCTAATCGGAGAAAGCAGCCAAGAACATAGCACCCACACAGCGCGACAAGGAAGAAAGCAGCTACGTCCCACATCTCAGCTGGCTGTTCAGAAATGGAGAGCAGCAGTACAGAAGATTTTGAAGGCGACGATTTCCTCTCGAGGAGGATACCAGATTCTTTTTTGTGTAACTCATATTTGTGATTTAAAAATCACCTCTTCAAAACTTATTTCCAGCAAGAAAAATCCAGCTGGCTTGTCTCCCGATTACTTAGTGTAACTAACAGACCAGCACCTAAAACTTACTGAGAAGACAGGATCGGGGAAAGAATGGTTTGGGCACCCAGCATTCATAACAGAAGAAAACCGATCCTCTGAATCTTACACCATTTAGACATCCAAAGGGAAAAAATAATCAAGACAGCCTAACACCTACCCTTAGTGGAGGCTGCTTGCATGCGTGCACACAGTATTGCATTGCACAGATGCGACAAGATCAGTCTAAAGAAGTGACAGTGTAACTGTTCTTCAGCTTAATGTTGCATAGCAACATTTCAACAAGACTGTGTTTTCTGGATCTCTACCCTGTTGTCTTTGTCACATGGGCATTGTAGGTGAAAACTTCCATACTTGTACCTTACCTTCCAAAAAAAAATCAGTTGTTGCTAGAACCTTGCAGGCATCCCATGGCAAATAGCTCAGCAACCATACTGAAGAGCACTGAGATAGTTTAAAAACAAACTTTTGAGAAAAGGAGCAGGTGTGGCAGTCTGAAGTAGTATAGCAGAGAACATAGTCTGGGTAGGAGAGAAAGAAAAATTGGGGCTAAGTTCCAGTTAGCAGATAAAACACAAAATTGGGAAAAGAATGGCTGAAAACTCATTTTATTTAAGCCCAAAAGTAGAATAAAGCACCCAGGAATTAAATAATAAAAAAAAAGTATGCCTGCTTTGTCAAGTTAACTTATTTACAAAGCTAAAGCCAGAGTATCTTCAAGAGCTGCCATACTGGGAACACAAGCAAGATTAAGTAACCAAGACTGTGCTACTACACAGGACATGAGACAAACCCTCCTTACAGTATATGCTGTCCCAGCTTTTACAAGCCCTTTAGCTGAAGTAAAAAGACCCCAAGGAACAGGAATTTCAGTCACGTGAAATAGCTCAGGGCATAGTTTCTGGAGAAGAGATCATCGCTTTAATTGATAAGTAGGTAGGTGAGATAAATTCTCCTTATGCTTTTCAGCTTGCAGTAGCCAAGAGAACGAGACCCATGGAAGGACATGGTCATGCCAAGAACTAAGAGAACAACCTTCCTCTTTTCTTGGTATGGGAGACAACAGCACCAGCACAGCTGTTTTTGAATGAACGAGTCTTGCTTGCTTAAAAGCCATCTTATCGATGTAGCTGAGGAAAATGTATGATCTTTTTAAAAGTGAGAGGGACTTTAGCATGTATAGGGTTTTACCAAGTTAATTCTGAGAACTGCTTTGCTCACATTCTCACATGCAAATTAAAAGCTGCAGAACAATAAAGCTTTATGTAGGTTTTCTGGCCATCTATTGCTGTTAATTAGTGCCAGCACAGACGCTGTAGCTCAGAGACAGACTCCTTTGCGCAAGCTTCCTTCAGCAGAAGGGAGAAAATACGCCTAATTCCCACCTGTTGCCAGCATAAAAACTTAGCAAACAGGAATGCAAACTTTGCCATGAAAATATTGCTAAAAACTATCAATATTAAAAGGAAACAAAAGCTGGGCATTATATCTGCTTAAGAATCATAAATGTCCTCTGCTGGCCATTTGGCAATTGTTACAGTCTTCCCTAACCATTTCTCTGGTTAACTACTTACACCAGTCAGATGCCACTTCAAAAACCTGAGATAAGAGATTTGTAGAGCTGCATTTTTAAAGACACCGGCACATCCTGCTAAGAGCATTTCACAACAGTATGACACTGCACAAAACATTATGAAAATGAGTCTTCCAGCTTGATTTGCAACTACAAGTAAAATACAATTAACACACCTGCATTTGTAAATGCATAATAGAAACGTCATTCTTCACAAAAGAATTGGAGGTATTTTATCTATATAGCAATCTTTATTTCAAAATGGCATTACAAAAATGTAAAAATCCAGCTAAACCAGAAACATTGAGATTATTTTCCTGGACTATCAAGTCCATAGATCTTTGTCCCATATCCTTTTCCTCACGGTATCTTCCCCGCTTCCAGTCTGATTACACAGGTGCAAATGTGCCTAAATGGCCTGGAAAAGATAAATACATTGAGAAAGGCAAAAGCTGTAAAGCTAAATGCATGCAACAAGTTCTATCAGGAAGAAACCCTCAAAAATAAACATAAGCGTAAAGTAGAGATAATCTGCAGGTATCCAGGGATTTGCTCAGTCATCCTTGTCTTTCGCTCCGTGTTTCAGGATGCGCGTGAATTCAATGTAGTTGAAATTCCCCTTTTTGTCGATGGGTGCCTCTCTGTACAGCTCATCCACCTCTTCGTCTGTGAACCTGTCTCCCATTGTCGTCAGCAGCTCTCGCAGGTAGTCCTCCTGAATGAACCCTAGAAGACAATGTAAGAGGACATAAGCAAAGGGAGTTTTTACATTTATCTGCTAATAGATGGATGATAATTTCTTTCTTTGAATTCTTTGTTTCAATTAAAGAGACCTACAGCCTTTGTTGCCAAATGAAAACAAAGACATTAAAGCCTATTACTATACTTGCCAAATAATTACAAGCATTCAATCAAGTCAAGACTCTTAGTTAATTTGCATGGTCGCACTGCTTTGGGTAAAGGCCATTTTATGATTTGCCTTTGTTGTTTCAAAGAATATACAAATTTGTCAGTATACATATTGGTCCTTCTTCCCAACAGCAGGGCTATGCTCCCGGTAGTGCTGAGAGCCTTCTAACAACTGTGTATTTTACACAAAGGCGATCCGTTTGTCTTGAACATTCCTCATGAAAACCACTAAAAAAAAAAAATGGAACTTGACTACCAATGTTCAACAAGTGAATGAAACACAGGGATTTCTGAAATATTTCAAAGATTTTAAATTGACCTTAAATCAGTGACAAAACTCAGATTTACTAGAGTGGTTGCAAAGAAAACATTTTTGGCATTGTTTATTAAACAAGCAGCCTTATGTGACTTGTGATTCCTTCTATCAGCACTCTCGTGAGTGACACAAGGTTTTTCTTGTATTAATTTTCTTCTCCTTTAAGTGCAGCTTAACAGAGGGAAGGTGGATACAAGATGCTGACAGAAAACAAGTTCTTCATAAAAGCACAACAGCTTTGAAGACAAGGATTTCCCTTACAAAAGTTGCCCCAAAGCTCAATTTTAAGTTAGGAAAAATTTAAGACCCTGGTTCTCAACAAACATCTTTTTTTCCTTTCTCTTGTCTTGAACAACAGAACTGAAGTGCCAGAAGTTTGGGATTTTAAGTTTTATAGTGTTTGAAAAGGTAATCTCAGCTGCTGAGGATACATGGCATGATTTTTAGTTTGCAGAAATCAGAATCTTCAGAGTTAAAAAATTCATCACCACTTCTATGAATACAAGTGTTTATTGCTACAAAACTAAGTAGAAATAATACATGTAGTACACCGTTATTTTACCCGCGTACCTGTTGCTTCTTCATCAAAGCAAGCAAAAGCATTCCTGATTACGTCTTCCGGATCGGTGCCATTTAGCTTCTCACCAAACATTGTGAGGAACATAGTGAAGTTTATGGGGCCTGGAGCCTCATTCATCATGGCATCTAGGTATTCATCCGTTGGATTCTTTCCTACAAATAAAGGGATTCATATTTGCTTTAGCTTTCAAACTAAAAGAAAAAAAGTAATCTGAACAGCGTAATACAACTGGGACACCTCTCATAAGCTATTCCAAACTCAGTATTTTAATTTTAACAGCACAAATTTGCTTGGCAACCGTAAACAGAAAAGTGACATTACCAAGGGAGGCGAGCATATCGTGCAAGTCCTCTTTGTCAATGAAGCCATCCCTGTTCTGGTCGATCATGTTGAAGGCCTCCTTGAATTCTTGAATCTGCGACTGATCAAACATTGCAAATACATTGGAAGTGGCACGCTGAGGGCGCTTCTTGGTGGTCTTCGTCTTTGCCCTTTTGCTAGACATGTTGGCTGTTTGTTCTAGGGAGACAGAATATCCAAGATTTAGCCTTATTAAATCAGATTACAAGTCCTTGGGGGAAAGATGGATAAAGGAATATTAAATTTCATATTATAAGCAAATACCCCAAAGTACACATTTATTTTAGTATCTCCTGTTCTATTTTCTTTCATTTGGACTTGCTGTGAAGCATAATGTCTTTCAGGATTCAGGGACTGGCACTGTAGGCCAATAGCAGGCTACGTTAAAAAACAAATCGAATCATAGTTCCTGAAATGAAACTCACACAGGGCTTGTACTGCTGATTCAATACTCTATCTGCATCTTCCACAAATTAAGATGACTACATACTTAGCAGTTTAGGAGGCACTATTGACCTATGACATAGAAGGATATGGGCTGCTAACCTGGCATAGTATGCAGTGGTTAAATAAATCAAGCAGTATGCTAAACTAACATTTGGGAGGGGAGAAAAAAATATTTTAGGCTCTGAATAGCATTTTGTTAGAATAGCTGCTGTTAAAAGAGCAGTAGGTCTCAGGACAACGACCCCAACGAAAGCCTAACATTTTCGTGAAGATCGTTGGATGGTGCTGGGGCTGGCAGAGAGATCTGCCAAAGAGCTCCTACTAGAGTGCTTTCAAAGTCAGCTAGAGGATTGTGTGTGTTAGAAAAAGGACACTGACGTGGTTCAAAAGCACCACATTGCTATTCTCTTACACAGTGGAACTATTACACAATACATATGCAAATGCAAGCATACTCTTTTTAAAATTAATGAATGACATAATTGTTCTAAAAATCTGAAGATTGTTTCTTTTAAATTATCAACCTTTTAAAACATTTATATACTCCTATAGAATCTTTATATAGTTTCATGTATCACACATATACTAATTCCATTGTTTCCCTTGAGCTGTCAAATGAAGAAATAAACGTGGTAGTTTACGTGTTATAACACTAATAATCAGGTTAGAAGTGAGGCTTTCAAGTTAACTGCTTCTTTTTAGCTGGGAAGATACATTTAGTGTTCAACTATGGTTGACACTACAAACATGAAAAGCTGAGTCACTCACTGAAATGCAAACACAGAGACCTCAACATTGCTATTGGATGAAAGGAAGGTAGACCCTGCTTAATGTTGTTTCTAAAAGTCTTTACACCTCTATGCTTTAGTTTTATCTAATGCAAGCAATCCATGCTGCTATAATCCTTTATTACGCCCAAACCAAATGTTATGCAAACCAGATTCCTTCCATCCTGATGTTGCATTTTACAGGAAGCACCTGCAGCAAGTGTCCTTAAAGAGGACAAATTTAAGCTTTACCTGTAGTCACACGAATATCAACGTTTTGAAATTTACACTAAGTATTAATTTTATAACTTTAAAAAAAAAATTAGCTGGTCAGAAATGCAATTCTAATCAGAGTCACTGCACAGTTCTAATGGTTTCTCAGATAGTTTGCTAAAAGTGACTATATTTTCTGTTAGACTCCTGAAAAGCAAGACTGAAGTCACTAACTTGGATTCATCCTTAAAAAAAAGGGAGTAAAATTAAGCAAAGTAACTCCCTTACATGGTCAATCAATCCAATATTCAGGCAAAAAGCACTTAGGTTTTTTTGGTTTTAATTAAAGGAAAGACATTTTACCTTGCTTTGTATCAGATACATGACATGCTGTACCAAGCACCTGGATCATAAAAGGATATTCCATGGTTACGTCCTTCTCAGTCTGTCTACAAAGAGCATTACTGATTTCCCCTGCTAATTCCACACTTTTAAATCCTACGTGCCTATACAACGTTGTTCTGACGTATAAGAAAACCCATTATGTCCCGAACTAAAAATAGCCTATGAAATGCAACTGCGCATCATTCAACAACACCGAAGTTCTCTTCATTGCATTCACTAACCACAAGGTATGCAAGATGTTTGGCCTCCAACAACACTTCAACAAATAAATATGAACTCCTGACATCTAGATATTTATGAAGACAGCTGACAATAAAGGTAGTTTGCTTTCAAGCTACAGTCAAGGGTTGTGCATAACTTCAGTCTTTTTCTTACTTCTGTAAAAACACTCATAACACTCATCATAAGTTATGTTAAACTCTGAATTCAAAGTTCCACTACCCAGAATAGAGTCAAACAATATCTGTTAATAACTGTTCTCTGAAATAATTCATAGGTTTCAGGATATGGCCTATTCAAAGTAAACTAAAAAGTTTACTTTGCATGTGCTGCAAGGCGGTGCTCCCAGCAAGCCACTACCTGCAATTCTCTCAGGTATAATTCAATCTAATTGAGAGGAGGTAACAAAAGCAGGCTACTGCTGACTAGCTACACGTGGTGGGAAGAGAGCCCATTTCTTTCTAATTCTGTTCAGAAAATTACCATATCAGAATATCGTACTAGAGATGAAAAATTTTCAATGCTTGCATTAATATTTTCTAAGTTTCTCTCAACCAGGCTTGGGAGGCAGCCATACAGAATATACAACTCTCACTTGAAGAGACCTATCAGCCTGCATACAGAGAAACATTAGGTCTCACAAGATTGTAGTACCTTTCAGCCCAAGTTTGGTGCAGCTATGCCTGAAATGGTAAAAAACTGGCTGGACGGCCAGGCCCAGAGAGTTGTGGTGAATGGAGTTAAATCCAGTTGGCGGCCAGTCACGAGCGGTGTTCCCCAGGGCTCAGTATTGGGGCCAGTTCTGTTTAATATCTTTGTCAATGATCTGGACGAGGGGATTGGGTGCACCCTCAGTAAGTTTGCAGACGACACCAAGTTGGGTGGCAGTGTGGATCTGCTCGAGGGTAGGAAGGCTCTGCAGAGGGACCTGGACAGGCTGGATC